CTCCTTTTATAGATGACTAAACTGTGGCCATTTAAGTGAAGTAATGCCCAAGGTCATATAGTTAATCCAAGGATATATAGCCACATGGAATCAACTAAAATTCAGCAATTATTAAGTCCTAGGTATATGTACTTTCCTTTTAATAAACATTTTAGAATAATTTTAGATCTATAGAAACACCGTGGAGATAGTACAATATATTCCACAGTACCATATAGTCCACAGCCAATTTCCCCTATTATTACCATAAGTTAGTATCTTTGTTAATGAACATATATTAATACAGTACTAACTGAAGTTCACCCTTTATTCAGATTTCCTTAGTTTTTAGCCCATATACTTTTTCTGTTCCATGATCTCATCCAGGATATATTATTAATACATTTAGTAATTATGCTTCCTTAGACTCCTCTTGGTTATGTCAGTTTCTCAGACTTTCCTAGTTTTATTCTAGAGAGGGTCTCACTCTGTCGCCCAGGCTGGAGTGCAGTGGCACAATCACAGCTCACTGAAACCTTGAAATCCAGGGCTCAAGCGATTTTCCTGCCTCAGCCTCCCAAGTAGCTGGGACAAGAGTCTCACATTGCCACACCCAGCTAAATAAAAAAAAAATTTTTTTGTAGAGATGGGGGTCTTGCTGTGTTGCCCAGGCTGGTCTTGAACTCCTGGCCTCAAGTGATCCTCCCACCTTGGCCTCTAACCTCTCACTCCAACAGTGAGAAACTTGGTTTCCACCAATCGTCATTTATTTAATTGTTCAGTTCCAGTATACATGTATAGTGGTTTCAGGACTGGTTACCTGTGGAGAAAAACTCTATCAACTGGAGTACGATGTTTATTTATAGTTCTTTTTTCCTTTATTCTTACAGACTCCACTCATTTCCAAAGTTACTTAGATTAGCACATTTTCCCCCCACCCCCTTCAGTGAGGTTATTTCATACATTTGCAACAGAGTTACTTAATTATAGTTTCTTTTCCATCTGGGATTCCATGATAACTTGATTTTTTTTATAACTGCATATATTCAGGTTCATTCTTTGTGCTATAAAGTTTGGTTTTGACAAATCTACAGTGTACCTACCATTATATTAATAGTATCATGCAGAATAGTTTCATTGCTCAAAAAAATCCTCTGTGCTTTACCATTCAACCCTCCCTGACCTTGAACTCATGGTAACCACCAATCTGTTTATGATTTTTATACTTTTGCCTTTTACAGAATGTGATATAAATGGAATCATACAGTACATAGCCTTTTAAAATTGGCTTCTTTTAACAATATGCATTTAAGGTTCATCCATGTCTTTGTGTGTCCTGAGAGCTCTTTCCTTTTTGCTGAATAGCATCCCATTGTATGGATGGACCACTGCTTGGTCATTCATTCACCTACTGAAGGACATTTTTGGTTGCTTCCATTTTGGTGATTCTGCATAAAGCTGCTACGAACTTTTGCATGTTGGTTTTGGTATGGACACATGTTTGCAAGGCAGTGGGACAAATACCAAGGACTACCACTGGTGGGTTGCATGGTAAGTTATATTTAGCTTTTTTAAGAAGCTGGCAGTCTTCCAAAGTTGCCATACCATTTTTCATTCCTATCAGCAATGAACGAGAGTTCCTGTTGCTTTTATCCTTGTCAACATTTTGCTGTTGTCGTTGTTTTAGATTTTAGCCATTCTAATAGGTGTATAGTGGTATCTCATCTTTTAAATTTGCATTTCCCTTATGACAGTTGATATTGAGCTTTTCATAAGCTTATTCGATACCTATGTGTCTTCTCTGTTGCAGTATCTGCTCAGATCCTTTTGCCCATTTTAAAAATTGGGCTGTTTCCTTATTATTAAGAATTCTTTGAACATTTTGGATGTTAGTCTTACCAAATATGTGTCTTGTAAGTATTTTGTACCATTTGTGGATTGTCTTTTCTTTCTCTTATCAGTGCAGAGAAGTATACTTATTAATTTTTAAGTCCAACTTATCAATTTTTTCTTCCATAGCTTCATTTTTGGGGCTATATCTAAACCCCATTGCCAAATCCAACGTAATATATATTTTCTATCATATTTTTTCTACAAATTTAATTAATTAATTAATCAAGAGACAGGATCTCACTCTGTTGCCCAGGCTGCAGTGCAGTGGCATGATCACAGCTCACTGCAACCTCAAACTCCTGGGCTCGCTCTATCCTCCTGCCTCAGCCTCCTGAGTAGCTGGGACTATAGGCACCTGCCACCACACTAGGCGTATTTTTTTACATTTTTTTGTAGAAATGGGATCTCACTATGTTGCCTAGGCTTGTCCTGAACTCTTGGCCTCAAGCGATCCTCCCACCCTGGTCTCCCAAAGTGCTGGGATCGCAGGAGTGAGTTACTGCGCCTGGCCGCTTCCAGAATTTTCATAGTTTTGTTTTGTACACGCAGGGCTTATCTTTGAGTTAATTTTTGTGAAAAGTGAGACAGTGCTCTTTTTTCTCATGAGTCTCTCAAGCAATGCTTCAGAAAGGTATACTTGCTAGAGTTGAGTATAAAAAAAAGAGTAACAGTCAACAGGATCTCATAGCATTCATTCATTCGTTCATTCATTTATTTATGACAAGGTCTCGCTCTGTCTCCTGAGCTAGAGTGCAGTGGCATATTCACAGTTCACTGCAACCTCAAACTCCCAGGCTCAAGCGATCCTCCTACTTGCGATTCCAGCGATCCTAGCCTCCTGAGTTGCTGGAACTACAGGCGTGCACCACCACACCTGGCTAATTTTTCTATTTTTTTGTAGAGACAGGGTCTTGCTCTTGCTTAGGCTAGTCTCAAACTCCTGGCCTCAAGCAATACCCCTTGCCTCTGCCTTCCGAAGTGCTAGGATTACAGACATGAGCCACCGTGTCTGGCTAGGATCTCCTAACTTTTAAGGTTAATGTTCACAGGCATCAATAATAGAATGTCCATACCTGAGGGAGGAACTCGTCCCTTAGTAATCTGCCATGGCCAGACCACAGCTACGGTATAGTATGTTCTGCTGGGCAGGGGGCGGTGGCGGGGAGCCTTGATTTAATAGTGACATTGGTAGGCTGGAATTCATCTAGAAACAGTGATTGGCATGACAAAGAGTCTGGGTACAATTGCTACAGCAATATTGTTCATGTTGTATGTCTACTGCCCTATCTCTTTATCCAGATTATGAACCACTTGAGGGCAAGAAATGTACACTTTCATCATGTATGCCCAGGATCTAGCACTCACTATGTGTTAAATAAACGTTTAATTAGTGGGTTTAGTGAAAAAATTGAGAATGCTTAATCTAGAAAATAAGAGTTCCTCCAATAATACATGCCTGTGAATTAACCACCAGACCTCTTGGGAAGAGGAGGCATGATAATTATCACCAAACACGTGAAGAGCTGCCATGCTGAGGAGGAGTCAGAACCAGGGTTAATGGGTGGAATTCACAGAAGTACAGAATTTCAGCTCATAACACCTAAGAATAGGCTGCTTTATGGTGAGCCTACAACAACTGAGATAATTAAACAGGGCCCAAGTGAATCTTCATGAGGGATTTTAGAGGAGGGGGTTTCTGTGCTGAGAAAAAGACAGAATGAACCACTTTCTGTCTCTTTCGACTCTGAAATTCTATGGGGTGAAAGGTATCTAGTATAGGGTCAAATAAAGAACTTCAAAAGCCATTAAGAACATGAATGATTATGGTATCACATTCCATTTATAAATTTAAAAAACCCAAACTATATTATAAGATGTGTGTTAGGAAGTCCAATGAAGCTCAGATGTATACATGATTATTTCTCTCTTCCTTTTTAAGATATCAAATATAAAATCTTCCCTTAATTCTCCCTTTCTCTCTTTTGTGCTGCTGCTTCATGGGACCCTGTACATGTGATTAGTTCAGCTTATTGCCCAGCACTGGTTCTCTGATTCTAGGTACAAGATAAGTAGGATGTAAAGACTTCTTTGGGAATCATTTATAAATTAAAAAGCCCTGTTCCAAAGAAACCACATGCAAAGGTAGAAAAGTCCAGGGCTTTTTAATTTATAATGTCCATTTATAACTACAGCAGAAATAAAGCCAGGGACAAAATGTGGTTATACTTTCTAAAAATAAGAGCCATCTACAAATGACACACAATGAAGCTTGCTAGTACTCAAACTACTAACATTCATGATGGTGATCCAGAGATGGACGAAGAGATGATTTATATCCATATGGTTTTAAATGTTAAGGTTTTTATCATTGTGCTCTAATTCTTTGAAAATTGATACATATGCCAAAATGTATGATTAAACAGAACACCTTATGTCTTGATCAAACACATGATAATAGAACTTAAAGCAAAAACCAATTTTGTATTATGATCAGCTTAAAAATGCTACACAAACTTGTTGGTTATATTTGTCAAGTGAATTTTTTCACTATGCTTGAGTAAGTTTCCAAATTTCCACCCATGGCAACTTAATTTTTGAACAAACTCATGGGTTTTGAATTATTTATGAAGAATTCTATGAAAAATCAAATGTTAAAATAAATATTGATTTATAACACTTTTAGATTTAGAGAACTAATTTCTTTGATTTAACTGGTTTATCTTTGTTATTTTAACTTCTACAAGAAACCTGCTAGAGCTTTCATTTAAAGGGAAGATTTTTTAGATTAAAGGGAAGATTTTCATTTAAAGTGAGTATTTTTTCTATAAATAGTGTGGGGCATTTTCTATCCCATCCTCCAGTGCTGTGACTTCCTTCTGCTACTCGGGTGACATGTTCTCATGATCAAGTGACCTCCTTAAGAGTTTCCGAGTTATAACAAAAAAAGTACACTGCAATAACCTTGCCAAGTCTTGTTATGAGAATTAGGGCTTGCCTGAGGAAAATAAACTACTCCCTAAGGGAATGGCATTGGTTTAAAGATGTGGAATAAACCCATGGTGAACTGTAATTATTTTTTTTAAAAAAGAATTATATATAGTTTTTAAAAAGATATAAAAAATACTTACTGGAACATCAACATATTTTGCAGCTGCTTTCACCTTAAGAGGGAAAGAAAGATAATTATGAGAATTATTTTCTCAACGGCTACCTAAATACTGTAACAACAGTTAAAAGACAGCAAGAAAGAACTCATTCAAATACTTACAGTGAATGACAGAATGGATGAAAAGAAAGTGCCTTCATCATACCTGGACAGCTTAGACAAGACGCCTTCCAACACTGAAACAAACTATAATACAATTTATAGTGAGTATTTGGAATGTGATTGTGCATGCAAACTAAGAGCAGGGCAAACGATTCCTGAACCAGCTTTTCCCCTGGCACAAAAATCCACAATGAATAAACTGACAACTGAGGTCAGGCTAACCCGTGATGTTTACTTTTTCACTCTGAACATGAGCTAACTCTACAGTTCTTTCCTTTACCATGGCTAGAAATAATAATTTAAAAAAAATAACGTGTGATAGTAGTCTAATCACTTTTCATGTGAGACTATTTAAACCATTAATAAATAACGTTAGGTTCATGATGAGATTATTCCTTAAACCATTTTTCAACTTCATGGTCAAGCTTAATCAAATTCCTCTTTATCATATATTACATGACCATCCTGCAGGTTTTTTTCTACATCTACACAGGAGGTCGAACAAAAAGAACAGAAAATGAAAGGGAGGCGTAACATTCAGGGTTCTTGTGACAATGGAAGGAAGTCTGACAGTTAATAAGCATCTACCAGGCGGTTCTAATTGGGACACTTAAAGATCACCCCTGCTTCCAGAAGCGTACGCAACAGTTGTGGAGGGGAAACAGACACACACTGCAGAGCACAATGGAAAGGGCGCTAGACCGAGAATGTATGTTCCGATTTCACTGCTGGGTATCATGCAGGCTCAGTCTGGCCACTGCACTTCTCGGGCCTCAGTCCCTCCATCAGTTAAATAGACTGTGTATGCATGGTGGGGGAGGAGGGTGGAATTCAAATTAGTCTCAAAATAAAAATTTATATTTCAATGAAATGAAAAAAAACCCCAAGTATACTATATAATACAATAAAAAATACGGAGAGTTTTTCTGAGTGGAAACATACTAAGATTTGGCATGAAGATCAATGAATAAGGAGATATTAATAAGGATACACTGCCCTACATCTTTCCTCTTTAGAACTAAAATAATATGCACTGTTGACAAATTATACACTCCCAAAGGGAAAATACTGACAACGTTTTTTAAATACGAAAAGGGAAATTAACGAAGGCTGGTTTTTGTTCACATAGCAGCTTCTTCAACAAAGTGATAATAGTTCTAGGGACACAGCTTATTGGTCTCTGGTGGCCAGAGAACTCATCGTGCGTGCATGGGAGATAATCTTTTCTCTATGGCTGATCAATTACTGCAAAATGGTTTATGCGAAAGAAACAAAAACTTCCCCGTAGGTTTCTCCATCACATCATGTGCCACATGATGTAAGAACACAGAAACAAAACCGTGCGACTGCTGACTAAAATTACAAAGAATGAGAATTATGGATGGCTGGGTAGTTATCCTAATCATAACATTACAAATTGCTCACAACTAAAAGACAATTTAGTGCTTTCCTCCTGCCCATTAGGATTTCTCACCCATCGTGAGTGGCTAACTCAACTTGATGTGGTTTGTAAAGGCCCAGAAGACCAATTCTCTAGGGCTATGTCAGACCAGGGGAAGGGAATTCCAAACTTAATGGCCCTCTGTGGAAAATGCCTCATCTCTTGTAACTCAAATCTTGAGAGCAAGTGTGTGCAGGGTGATCTCATTTGCCACAAGCGACAATTGCTATAGTTACCAGACGGCCTGAACCACCGAAGGCTCTGGCGCGGCACCTGGTTCTTGGTGTCTTGTGGTGAGTCTGTGCTTACATGTGTGACTGATGCTGAGGGACAAAGCAAGGTGGGGGCAAGAATCTTGCGGATGGATTTAGGAGACTTCAGTGTGAGCTGTAGTTCCGCCACTGTCTGCCCATGAGATAACATCAAGTCATCGTGTTCCTCTCACTTCAGTGTACTCATCGGTATAACAGGGGAAACGACAGCCGTCCCGCCCATCTTTCAAGGACGGTGTGAAGATCAGTGGAGGTGATTTGTCTGAAAGAACTGAGAAGGTAGCAAAACACTAAAAAAAGTAAAATACTAATATTATCGGTCTGGTTAGTTATATCACTATCCATTCTATGTCTAAACACCTAAATATGTTAAATCACAAGTTAATGGGGGTTGCCTTAAGATTGTTAGTGATAAGGAGTAATAATGAGTTTGGTTCTTAGCTAATGGGTCTCATTCGATTAAATCTATGCAGCGTTCTACGGAGGTAGAGTAGAGCTGAGGCTGTAAATCAGATGATTGGTGGAAACCAGCCTGTTTCATTAGATGGCAGAAAGGGAAAGGCTTTGAACACAGGCATCTTGCTCCAGGGCCCACGTTCTTTACCATCACACCACAGAGGTGTACGGTTTAAATGAGATGATACATGTAACGTGTCCAGCAAATAGGAAGTACTCAATAAATGTCATTTTGTGATAGTCATTATTATTGAGCACCTAAGATAGGAGATGCAAAAATAAAAGAGCTATGGACCTTTCCCTTCAGGATCATACAGACTAGTGGGAGAGACAGATAAGAACACACTGCACATGACATGAGGCAGAAGTGTTATGGGCCAGTGTAGACGGGCAAGTGTAACTGAAACAGGAGGAGGGAGAGAATGACTTTGGAGGATACGGAGTAACTTTCCTTCATTTATGAGGTGCCCCAAGAGCCGAGCTGCAGGATAGCAGAAATGGAGTGGGTAAAGTAACACTTGGGGAAGCCTACTTACTGGTGGGTGAATTTAGGGCAGAAGTTTCTGTCTGCTGTGGCATCTGGCAGCCTGTCTTGGCTGGTGCTCTCTTTATAGTATGAAGCAGCACTGGGTTGTATCTGAGTAAGTTCCATGTGTGGACTGTGCTCTGCTGTGACCACGCTGCAGCATTCAAAAATAGTGGAGACCCTCTCCTTGGGTTCTTCCCTATTGTCAGGGTTGGTTTTTTTTTTTTTTGAGGGGTGTTGCCCCAGTTCTTTGGCTCTTTGCTTGGAAGAATTGGAAGCAGGGCCGATGTGATGGAGAGATGACAGACACTTCGTACTTCCACAGAAGCAGCTTTTATTGCAGGCTTTTCAGCATAGAAATAGAAAGCAAAAGTACACTTCCTGAGGGGAAATGGGGCCATCTCTACGAGTGGAGAAGATGCTGGGGTCTTACCACACTTCTACTTTTATGTCTACACTTTACGATATGCTAAATGGTGGAATATTCATTATTTCTCTGGGAAAAGGGTGGAGAGTTCTTAGAGCTAAGGGCCCTTCCCAATTTTATCCTTATAGGTTAACTTCCAGGAGTTGTCATGACATTTGTAAACTGTCATGGTGCTGTGGGTGTGATTTTTACTATGCTAATGTATGTTAATGGGGAAAAGGTCACCTTTGGACATAAGCTCCCAGTTTCTGTGCATGCTCCTGGCCAGGAAAAGTTCCTAACGTCAGGTTCCTGCTGTTGGGGGTTAGGTTCTAAATGCTCATTGGCCTTCTCATTTTTGCCCCCCTCCTCTTTTCCTGTAGTTAGAGCTGCCAATCTGCACCTGTCCCTAACACTCTCCCAAACGGTGGCCCGGGAGGCATGGTACAGCAGGGAATCTAATTGCTTACGTGGCAGTGTACAGTGACTACACCTCCAGAATCAGCCAGCTGAGCCACATAGTTCCTACAGGAAGGTTTTCTTTGCAAGATTATTGTCGAGGCACGCATGGTAGAAGAGCTACTTTAAAAATCAAACTCCATTAACAACAAGATTGACTAGTAATGATATATTTTTCATCTGGTTTTTAATTGCATAAAACAGCAAGATTCCAAAGAAATTCAGTTAAATGCTGGGTTTAGCTGCTGCATCTTTAGCTGCTTCCTGTGAACTTTCTCCGTACAGCTCAGGGAATATATAAATACTTATGGGTTTGCTTTGTGCTCTCTCTTCTCCTGAGGGTGGTGTCAGATAGGAATGAAACACTGTAATCTGTTTCTCTGCTCTTTATTATGGATGCCATTTACTGGGTTTGTTTGAATAATATTTAACAACTAAAGTCTGTCTGGGTAATTACCGTCTTTGCCTGGTGATGTACGCTCTCAAGGAAATTAAAGATGAAAGCACTCTGAAATGACTGGTAGAAGGAAACATAAAGAGTATGACAAAGCATGTGGGTTTACACTTCTTACTGAATTTTAACACGATACAAGATTCATATGGAAGGTAGAAACATAAATTCTAAGTGATGGGGAGGATTCCAGCGATATATAAACTGATAGGTTCAAAACACACAGTTCTTGCTTTTCTGGCTGTGACATTTTGTGAAGTAAATGAGCAATTTGCATTATTTACACTGCAGTTTATAAAATCTTCCACAGAAAACACAGTCATCCATAGTAAGACTGATCATGAAAAACAAGATGTGTTTTATTTTTGCGGGGGGAGTGGAATTGAGGATATCTATTAGTGGATGTCTTATTTTTGTTTGCTAAGATCAGGATGAATTACTACTGTTAAAAATCCACATGGAACCAGAATATCATTGACTGGAAGAAAACAGTCAATTTGCTTCCCTGAACCTGAATGTTAATGTTACAATATATTAATAATACAATTGTTTCTTTCCTATCCTCTTCTCCAACTGCCTCCTAAAAGATCTTTCCAGATCATGTACATCTATGTAAAGGATGGATGCCATTTGACAGCATGTATTTATCTGTAACATACCTTGTTCTGGAAAGGATCTAAGACAACTTTCTAAACAGCACACCTAGCCCAGATGTCAGTGAATTCTCCAGTTTCCTTCATTGTTCCTCTTCCCCTGACCCCCAGAAATAGAGTGAACTATTTTATTTTGTATTTCCTCTCTGGTAATGGATCCTAACAGTGTATGTTATTCCTTTTGAGCACGCACTTGTATTTGGACAGGTGCCTTATGAATATATGGTCTTGATCCAAACAAGTAAACTGAGTAAATTTAATCAAATTAATTTCACCAGGCTGAACTGGGGAGATATTTTACTGATATCATCTGGGTGGTCAGATAAGATTTGTTCTCTATTCATTTTATTCTTAAGAGAAATTCAGGAAAAAATATTCTAAGTTTTAAGAAGCAATATATGTGTTTGTATATGTATATAC